GCCTCTTGAACGATGACAGGTGAGTCGGGCTTTTTCTTACGGATTTTTCGCACTATTGGAGTTAACGGAGACGTAATGGCACGTGCACGCCGTCTGATGCGTGAACTCCATCTTGCAAGAAAAACCCGACGTAGAGCATTCACCTTAGCGGGCCGCTAAAAATAAATTAATACATAAATCAGTAAATAAACAGACATGATATTAAACAGTGAAAACAAAGACAAATATATTTCAAACTTGCACGGTATTCACCCAAGTCATTATTCTATCATTGTTCACAAAATGCATCAGATAATATTCCAGAAGTAATCACTTATATAAACATTTAAAAGGACAACATATAGGTTTAGTGCAGGTTCAATGACAATATAAAGAGTAGTAGTTTATTCTTGAAACTTAAATTTTCAACACTGTGAAGTTAGTATTTGTCTTTGTCTTTTGGTTGAAGTAATGCAATTCATTCAAGTTTCAATTTGCAGAAGAAGAATATAATCTGAAACTTAAAATCGCAACACGAATGACTATCGCAACGCGAAAATGACTTTCGCAACGCGAAAATGACGATCACAACGCGAATTTGACTATCGCAACGAGAGAATCGTCATTTTCGCGTTGCGAAAGTAAACTATTCTTCTTCTGCAAATTGAAACTTGAATGGATTGCATTACTTCAACCAAAAGACAACAAAAAACAAATACTAACTTCACAGGGTTAAAGAATAAACAGTTTAGCAGTATTGGCAGCAACCAAATGAATTTACTAAGCAATCTAAGTGAAATGGTTAATCTAAGTGAAATTACGAGTAAATTTATCATCAAGTTGTTATGAGTTGCGAGTACGGGATATACTGTAGACGGTTCAGTGTTCTGATATATTAATATTCGTGTTTGGAATTTGAAAAAAATACGCGTTGCGATAATAATGACGCTTTGAAAATCGCATTGCTATAGTCAGCATCGCGTTACGACAGTCAAAATCGCGTTACAATACTCAGATTAATCTTACTGTTAATTTTAACTTACTGTTAATTTTAACATTATCAATATCAGTTTTATTTTTTTTAACTTACTGTTAATTTTACTGATTCAAAAATAGTTTATTTTTAAAGATTATGAAAATTTAATAATTTTTTTTAAAAATATATAATTTTAAATAATTGATAATTTTTTACTAACAAGGTTAAAGTGATAAATAACTTGATATCTCAAGTAATGTCTCAGTTTCGAGTTCTTGTATATACAGAAAATCTCCAATGGAAAACTCACCCACCAAAATCAAATGTACGACTATAATTGATTCAGATTAATCGAGACGAAACCTTAAAATTAAAAGATAAAAATAACAAAAAGGATTGATGGATTTTTTAAAAAATTATGAGTTCAACTTTTATCCTATTAAGATATATGTTAGATTATTTTTAACCTATAAAATTAATCATACAATAACAAAAGTATCGAAACATAATGATATTATGAGTTTAAAAAATCATACAATATTATAAAATTTTGAAATCAATTTAAAAATAAAAACTATAACTTTAAAATTAATATAAAACATTTTAAAATTTTAAAATTAATTTATTAAGAGAGCCCTAGTTTGAGACACCTTTTTATTTCTTATATATAAAAAACTAGGGCGGTGTGATTGTCTAAACTCTAAAGGAAGGAATAAAATATAGAAATAAATAAAAGGAACATAAGGGACAAGGCTGGGCCCACTGAGAATGAGAGAAGCACGTGCACCCAAAAAGCAAACAAAAGGAGAGCGGTGTTTGGCCCAATCGCGGGTGACACGTCATCCAAAGTTGTGCTAATCTTCCCCTTTACTTCGGTTTCTCCCTCTCTTAATAACACAAAAGAATCACTTCCCTTGTCCGAATCGAACCGTGTTGCGTTGTTTGAAATCTTTTTTTCTTTAATTTCATATATTTATTTATTCTAATTATCAATTTATTTATTCTAATTATAATCGATCATACGTATTATGAAGGTTTTAAGTTAGAGGTGAAGTATAAAATGATGCAATTAAATAACTTTAAAGGTTAAATTGATGCGAAAATATAACATGCACAAAAATAATAAATTAAGTCTATTACCGGAACAAAAATGACTCGTCAAAAAATAAAGATAAGTTTCAAATATATATATATATATATATATATATATATATATATATATATATTTATTATCCTTCAATCTTTATGTCAAAAATAGTTGCTGAGATTTTCAATCAAATATTCGACGAACAACATTTTATAAATATTTCTCAAAAATGGAAAAAAATTATCAATAATAAAAAATCAGTCCAATTAATATCTTTGCCCCTAGAAATATCCTATATACCTTACAACATGAATTCGAACCTCATTAGAGTTCAGATTTAACAATTATATCTTTAAAAATTCCTAAACATTTTGTACCACTCATTAAATGAATCTAGACCTACTTTTTTTTAGGTATAAAATATACGTTACTATGTATTAATCTATTTATATTTAGGGTAAAGTGCACAAATGGTCCCTCAATTATAGAGTATTACTTAATTATGTCCCTCAACTATTACATAAGACGGTCCTCCGACTACATAGTGTTACTTTGTTGAGTCCATTGACTATTAAAAGTTACAAAATGATCGTCTGACCATTTATTATATTCTAAACTCGTCATTTTCTGTTAAAAAATCAATTGTTGTCTGAGCTGGACATTAACGTGGTAACTAGAATATGATAGTCATTTGAGATTTTAGGATTAGTTCATCATACAATAGTCAACATGTTAACATTCAACTCATATTGTCATTAATTTTTAACAGTAAATGACGAGTTTGGAACATAATTAATAATCGGTGACCATTTTGTAACTTTCAATAGTCGAAGGACTTAGTAAAACAATATTCTATAGTCAGATGATCATTTTCTAATTTTTAGTAGTTAGTGACTCAAAAAAACATCACTCTATAGTTGAAGGATCATTTTATACTCTTATATTTATTAATTTTTTATCATAGAAATAAACCGTGCTTGAATATTTAAAATTGATTTAGAAAATACGTCATTTACATTGTATTTAGATGCAATTGGACTTGTTCATGAATTTCTAGTGTAGCAAGTTATCTTGTTACTTTTGGATGCAATGGAAAATTACTTAATCACCCCAAAAAATTTAAAAAAGTATACCTCTATTTAATAAGGTCAAATTATGATTTGACCCCTCTACTATCCTAAAATTGATAATTAAATCTTAATATTTTAATTTGATGTAATTGAGTTTATTTACTTCAATAGTATCATTAGCTAGCTAGTCCAAATAATTGACATCGTTGACCATTCCGATTACGATGTTGACATTGAATTTTTTCTTAAAAACACTTATTCAACAATTAAAGAATAGGGTCTGAAACAAATTAAAGTATAGTGACTAAATTTCTTATTTTAGCGTAATATAGAGACCAAAGCATAATTTGATATTTTAATAATAAAGGAGAATGACCATTATTCACTTAATGAGCTAAACTACATAAATGGCCACCAAACTTTTAGGGTGCTTGCATTTTGGTTACCCAACTTTAAATGCTTGCAATATAATTATTGAACTTTTAGTTCGTTTTCAGTAAGGTCTCTAACGTTACCTCTCGTTAGTTTTATCTGACGTGACACGTTATCTCCTGTTAACCCTTCTTCTCGTCTTACTCTTCCTCCTCCTCCCTCTTCTTAGCTTTGTCTTACGTAACCCATCTTTTTCACTCTCTATTTCCAAAAAAAAACCCTCTATGCAACATCGTCGAATTGCTTCTCATCTACCAAAACCTACAATGTTTGGACTTATAGACATAAAAAGTCATCATTATGTTCGAAAACTCGATAATTCTTAACAACAATGAAAAAAATCAATTCTCTTATTAGATAAGAATATGTATCGTACAAAGATATGTTCATTTTTCTTATATGTAATTGATGAGACCATAAAGGATCATACTACCGTACCCTTCTCGAAATAATGTATCAAATATGGGTACTCTAGAGTTTGAGCAATATGGCTTGCACTTATCCTTTACGACAGGAAATTTATGGGGAAGCCATTTGGATGGGACCATCCTCCTTTATTTCCTCAAATGGAAATGATCAAAAAGTACATGATTAAACAATTTTCTTATTTCAGAACCATTGACAACTTTGATGTTATGTATGACAGTTGTTTTTTGCAGAATCGACTGAAGTAATTTAATAGATTGTGTTTGGCCTAGTTTTTCCCATACCTTTTCAAGATGTCATTTGGAAGAAGCAATCTTGTTTAAACATTGGGAACCAACACATATATTAGACTCATTAATATATTCGAGTTATGGTACAAAAATTCTATATCACAAATAGCAATGGTCATCCAAAGTGATTGAAACCATGGTCGTTCATAGTCTTCTTCTTCTTCTTTCAACCGAGTCAATTTGTGACTCAACTACATGTTTTCTTTTCGAAGAAGAAGGAACGGAGGGTAATGTGTCACGTCAGATAAAACTAAAGGGAGATAACGTTAGGGACCTTACTGAAAATAAACAAAAAATTTAATAACTGTATTACAAGTTTTAAAAGTTTGGGTGACCATCTCTAGGTTTACCCAACTTTTTATTAAAACACGTGATGAACATCAGTTATAGATTTAATTGAATAAAATAATTGATTTAAGGGTAATTAATATCCGATGAACTGATAAATAGTGCTTTAAATTTTAAAATCCATTGAAATGGACACCGTACTGCATTTTATTTAGCTGAAAGTTCCAACCTCCGACACAGTCGCTTTACCCAAAGCAGATGTTGCTCTGCCACAATCAACGAAACAGCAAAACATTTCGAAATAATTAAAACCCAGAACCAGAAGAACTACCAAACTTCGATTTCACTAACGTTTATTTTGTCTTTTCGGGTATTTTTTTTCTCTCATCTTCTTCTTCTTCCTCGTATCAGTTTTTCATCGTCGGTTTTAAGAAGAACCAGAAGATTCGACAATGGATGATCAAGGCGAGAGCAAGTATGGGATCCGGCAGTTCATGAGATTAAAAGAAATCCTTCAAAAGTGGCAGGCAGTCACGTTGTGTTCGATGCCGGAAACGGATACCCCGCACTCGGGAGAAAAGTCAGAGTTTTTCTCACCGGCGACCAACATGAGGCTAAAAGAGGTTATGCGTTATGATTCCGATGAGGACAGTAGCCACGGTCCCGAGCCACCGGCCGGTGTCTCGAAGGGATATCTGGCGGTTTATGTGGGACCGGAGCTTCGAAGGTTTATCATCCCCACAAGCTACCTCAGCCATCCGGCCTTCACGGTCTTGCTGGAGAAGGCGGAGGAGGAATTCGGGTACGATCATAACGGCGGACTTACCCTCCCCTGCGAGATCGAGACGTTCAAGTATCTCCTCAAGTGCATAGAGAGTCATCCTCCCGAGCAGGCATTTGCATAATTACTTTGCATAGCCCATTTCAATTTTGAGTAAAGTACATAAATGGTAAGTCTCTCGACTAAAGTTATAAAATAATCATTTGATTATAAAGTGTTATTTTATTAAGCCTTCAACTATTAAACATTATAAAATAGTCACCCGACTATTCATTATATTCTAAACTCTTCATTTTTCATTAAAAAATTGACAGTTATTTAAGTTGGTCGTTTGAGATTCTGGGATCATATTTTATCATATCATAATCAGTAGGTTAACGTCTAACTTAGACAACAGCCAATTTTTTTAATAAAAATGATGAGTTTGGAACATAATGAATAGTCGGGTGATCACTTCGTACCTTTTAATAGTTGATGAACTTAATAAAATAGTACCTTATAATCGGGGAACCATTTGTGTACTTAACCCTTCAATTTTCCACTACATTATTCTCCAAACTTCACCTTAATACAAAATTTTCTTTTCATTTTTGCAGCTGCAGATTCACCTGAATTGTGAAGTTGAACATTGAAGCAAGCTCACCATGCAAGCATTTTCGTTTATTATTTATTTGTGAAGTTGGAACCTTTGATGAAGAAGCACATGGTACTGCATGCAGTGTGGACGTTCTTTGTTAAAAAAAAGGAACGGTCATCTGAGTTGGACGTTAGCATGCTGACTAAGATATAATAATCATTTGAGATTATAAGACCAAATTTTATCATATCTCAGTCAGTAGGTTAGCGTACATCTCAGACAATCATCAAATTTTAACGAAAAATGACGAGTTTGAAGCATAATGAATATTTGAGTGACCATTTTGTAACTTTTAATAGTTAAGGGACTCAACAAATCAACTTTCTATAGTCGGATGACCATTTTATAACGTTTAATAGTCGAATGACTTAGTAAAGCAATACATATAGTCAGAAGACATTTATTTATGTACTTTACCCTAAATATTATAACATACAATTGAATTGACAAATATAATTCGTAACGTGAAATGTTCAATGCGATTGCTTGGAATTTTGACATTACGGTTAGTCTTAGAGACATGAACCGATGAAGATTTTTTAATACAGAGACGGAATAACGATAAAGGGGACAAGAGAATTACAAAATAACATCCTATACACTCTTAAAGCCCTAAAATAATTATATAAATAAATAATTAAAATATATAAAACTTTGGGGAATTTGATTATATATTATATATATAACGTGATACGAAAAAAATAATGAAATATCTATACAAGAATATTTAGAGGTAATAATCGAGTCGGGTTTTGAATTCAGATTACATTTAATTTTGATTCGTTCAAATTTATTTTAGAACTATGGTAAGTCGAATTAAGTTAGATATCATAATACCTAGACAATATAAAACTGATCAAATTTTGAGTCGGGTTAATATCATATTAGTCAGATTTTAGTTTAGATTAACCTTTGGATCTTCAGGTAAAATAAAAATTAATACAAAAGATGATGGTTAACTTACTAGTAGTATAATAATATTGAACCATAAAACTATCACCAAATATGATGGTTGTATAATAATATCGAGTCATTAAATTATCATAAGTGTGTTGATTAACTATTAATATAATATAAAAGGAGAATAAAATATACAACATTTTATTATATATCACGTTATTGAGAAATAGATAATAAAAAAAAATTATTTGTTTATTTTTGACTCAATTATCAAGTTAAAATCAATCCATGATTGTTCTATTTTTGAAAAACCCAGTTTTCTCTTATTGGTGTGTCGTTCATCTCTTTTTTTTTCGTCTTTGTTGATCAGCAACGTCATTAACTTTAATGTTGATTGTCGACCGTCAGTATTTCTTTATTGTCTTTTTTCCTTTCTTATATTGTATCTCTATTTTCTTTTGTTTTTTTATTTTCAATAAGTATGACTGTGTGACACGTTTTCATTTACCTTTGTGACACGATTTCTTTTCTTTTTTGGCATATTTTTCGTTCGTTTGAACTTTTTTTCATTTATCTTTTTCTAAGGGTTGATTTGACATCACCACGACTGAAAAGATGACGTTTATATAATATCTTGTTGAACTTCCTTGCTTTGGACCCTCGGAGTGGACTTGGATACCTGTTTTGTGCTCGTATATAGCTTTTCACTTCGCTCAAGTTTGATTTACGATTTTTTCGATGGTCTTTCAATAGCTTGATCTCCTTTTGTGGTTCGTTTGCCGATGCTATCATATATATTTGCATCTATCTATGTTTGAGTTTCTTGGTTAGATTTTTAATCTTTCCTCGTATAAATCTTATGATCTTAAGCTGCTAGTTTGTTTGAATGATTATAGGAAATTATCCTAATTGTGTGCTTAATTTTTATTGTGATTTAAGATATTTCTTATTTTGAATAAAATTAGTTGCTTTCGTTAAAAAAATTCAGATTATTTTTAACTTAGATTAATTTTAATTCGATTTGTTTTCAGGTTGGATCAAATTAGATACTGATTCATAATCCAACTAAGAGCAATTCTAAGGCTGGCCCATCAACTGACAACTAGCTTTGAACTATGAATCGCATCTAAACAAAATACTACTTATCGTATTAGCCCGATGAGTAACGAATCGAGTCAAATTTAAATATTATTAAGTTTAATTCGATTCAAAAAATTTAAAATTAACTTCGATTCGAATCGTAGGTTCGCGAGTCTAAAATTATCAAGTTCAACTCGAGTTCGAAATTAAAAATTGAAGCTTGACTCAATTCGAAATATCATGAATTTATATATATATATTTTAAAAAGCTCACGAGCTATTTGATAGCCAATTAAAAATTAATGAGATTAAAATTTTTAAATTCAACTCAAACTTAAAATAAAAAAATAAAGCTAGGCTTGAGCTAAAAAACACCTGAACTCAAAACATTTTAAATTTAATTCGATTAAAGCTTAAACTCGAGTTCAATTTAAACTCAAACTCGAACATTAAATATATATAAACATTCTATTTTGTTTCAAAAAATTACCTATTGTATTGTTTTAGTCTTACGACGTTTAAGAGATGAAAAAACATGATCCTTAACTCGTTCGGTTTACCATCATATGTTTTAGCCCGATGGGGATGGGACGAAGAGTGACAAAAAATTTAAGGGTAAATTACATATTTAGTATCTAAACTATCAGTTTTAATCTATTTTAATATCTAAGCTTTCATTCTTTTTAAGGTCATACCTAATATTTAGTTTTTGTTTCGTTTCAGTACATCGTTAAAAACTTAACATTAAGTTTTGATTTTTTTTTGAAAGTTTAGATACTAAAATGAACTATAATCAATAGTTTAAGTACTAAACATGTTAAGTTTTTAATGGCATGGTACTAAAATGAAACAAGATCTAAACGTTATGTATGATTTTTAAAAAACTGAAAGTTTAGATACTAATATGGATCAAAATTGATAATTTAGATACCAAACTTGTAGTTTATCTAAAATTTAATTGGTGTTGGTGACGTTAGGGGGAAACGAACCCTTTTCCTAAACCTAAACTTGATAGATTATAGGTTAAATTACACATATAATACTTAAACTATCAGTTTGATCTATTTTAGTACCTAAATTTTAGTTTTTGTTTCATTTTAGTACCATGTTCAAAATTTAACATTAAGTTTTGAAAAAAATTAAAAGTTTAGGTATTAAATGCATTAATTTTTAACGACAAGGTACTAAAACGAAATAAAAACTAAATTTTAGCTATAATTTTGAATAAATTGAAAGTTTAAGCATTAAAACAGACTAAAACTGATAGTTTAGATACTAAATGCGTAGTTTACCCTAAATTTTAAGGTGCCACCATATACCTTAAAATATAAATATATTTTTAATTATTAGGGTTCTTACCAAATAATGCATATTGATGGTGGATTGGTCGGTTGGTTGACGTGGGACCAAAAAGATAACCCAGCTTCCTCCAAACCCAATTATAATTTTGAAGAAAAATCAAAGATATTTATAAGTATCCATCAAAATTATTTAATTATTACGTTTGAAAAATATATAACATTTAGGATAAAGTACGCAAATGGTCCCCCAAAATAGGGTAATGCTTCATTAAGTCCCTAGACTATTAAAAACTATAAAATGATTCTTTGCTTATAGAATGTTACTTTGTTATGTCCCTTGACTATTAAACTCGTCCATTTCCATTAAAAAATTGGTGAATGTCTAAGTTGGAAGTTAACATGATGTATGAGATATGATAGTCTTTGAGTTTATCATATCACAGTTAGCGAATTAACATTCAACCTAGAATACTGTCAATTTTTAATGAAAAAGGACGAGTTTGATACATAATGAATAGTCGAGTGACCATTTTGTAACTTTTAATAGTCGAGGGACTAGACAAAACAACACTCTATAATTAGAGGATCATTTTGTAACTTTTAATAATGATTTCTGATTATAGAATGTTACTTTGTTATTTCCCTTGACTATTAAAATGATCACCCGATTATTAGAATTGTCTAAGTTGGACGTTAACATGATGATTGAGATATGATAGTCATTGAGATTCTATGATCAATTTTTATCAGATCACAGTCAGCAAGTTAACGTTCAGCTCAAAATACTATCAATTTTTTAATGGAAAATAATGAGTTTGGAACATAATAAATAGTCGGGTGACCATTTTGTAACTTTTAATACTTGAGAGACTCAACAAAGTAACACTTTATAGTCACAAGATCATTTTAAAACTTTTAATAGTCAAAGGACTTAATAAAGTAATACTCTATAGTCGGGGGACCATTTGTATACTTTACCCTAACATTTAACACATTATTTTCTTGAATAGAAGAGAAAAACAATGCATTTGTTATAATTCCAGTCTTATAAACATCAATCAATGCAACTAAATCTCAACATAATAACATTTCCTTCTAAGAACTAACGTCAACATTTATGTTAATTTCTTGGGCAAAAAGTTATCATCTTTAGCTCAATAGTCGCTCTCCTGTATATTCAATGCAATTCATGCTTCCTTAGACTAC